GAGCTCATCACTAAGTTCTTGAACCTTGAATTTCCCAGCTAAAATGCTTTTTTAAGATCAATTGACCTGAGACCCCAGCCCCAGAACAATTCTCAGAGGCTGGGAATTTGGAATTCTAATCAATAGTCTCAACATTAATCTCTCGTGCTTGTTTCCATGTTTCCCAGCATCCATGACTCCTTCCAGAAAGCGTGACATCGCCTCTGGGGCAATGAGAGCTCTGATTTCAGGGACCGTAGCCTGCTTCATGACAGCCTGCATTGCAGGTACCACATTAAGTCTTTTGTGTCCTGTCTCCCCGTACCCACAGAATGGCAGCTTTCTGGGTGGGCAGTGTCTCCAACCAGCATATGCAGCATATGCTGCTGCAGAAAGTTGAGAGGCAGAGCTGCCCTTAAGCATATGATACAGTGAAATGTGTGGAGCACGGTGGAGAAGCTAAGAACAGAAGAAGAGTTCAGGGACTTTGTTAATTAATAAAATCAATGGTACTCTGTTCCACTTCCAGGCATGCTCTCTGGCACTCCTGTAGACATCAACTGCCTTCGCATTTTAGAGAATGCCTTCAACTCCAGTTTGCCTGCAAACACAACCAATGTAGTAACTTGTTGCCAAAGTCTATTGAGCAGGTATTGTATTCTTGATTATAACTTCTTTATATTCATTAAAGAACACCCCATCTGCTTAGTTTTTTTAACTTCATGACTCTTACTTTATCTAAATATAAGAATGTACGTGGCAATTCTAACCAGCTTTCATTTCAACTTTTTACACTAGCAAGACTAGGAGCCATAATACTAGCCAGTGCTGCTCAAGCATTTAATATGCCCCCACCTGTGTATTAGGCATGAATTAGCTCACCTAAACTTTGCAATCACTATATAAGTTAGGTACTCTTCCTTTGTTAAGCATTAGATAAAATCAGGGCTTGGAGAAGCTATATCACTTACCCAAGCAAAATGGGTGCATGCACAATCAAGACAGAAAGACCCAAGAAGAGCCCATGCCCTTAACTAGTACCGGCTGTTAGTTACTAGGCACTGCCTCCCTTTCAAGGGGATCAGACAGTGCAGGCTGTCCTGACAACATGGCGATGGGCTATGGTGGATGGGGGGCCATGCCACCCACCCCCACCGGTACAGTTCCTATTGACAAAATAAATATCCCCACCCTATCTGGCCTTCTTAATATGCAAGTGTTCCATAAGGATTGATTCCAGCTTTCTTTGTTTATTCTGGAGGAAATAGGGGAAGTCCTTGAGGCCAAATAGGATTTGAGAGTCAAAACTAATTTTCTGGTGCCCCTGTCCTTAACTTCCCCTAACCAGAATGTGAGGGAGGAAGTCAGGTTCCCACCCAGTGCTATTTTTAATGTGTCATTGTCTGCTCATTTGCTGTTTCTGTCTTCTAAGGCTCAACTAACTGTTTCATTCCACTTTCCACTAGAACTGTTGCCAAGGGTCCCGGCGAGGTCATCCCAGGGGGGAACCACAGCCTGTATTCTTTGAAGAGCTGCTGCCAATTGTTGCGTCCATCAACACTGAACTGCAGTTGGATCTCTAATGCATTTTGAGTTCAGCCACTTCTCTAACAGAGCTCTAAGTACAGGTGTTAAATTTTCTGCTTTGGGGAGAAAAAGAAAAACAATGCTATTCTCCACAGACTGATAGTTTCATCATGGAATCAGCTTTAATTGGAAAGAAGAAGAACAGGAGTGAACCCTTCAGCTCTGCAGCATCTTCCTGCAGAGCTACACAATCTCCCTCCCCTTCCCCTGCCTCCCCAGCCCCTTCTCCACTGAGAACTATTATGGCATCCCAAAGTGAGGTGTTGTCTCCAGTCCCAAAAATGTTTTCTAACCTTACAATTTCAGAACATTTAACCAGAATACAAGTATAAATGACAGCTGCTCCATGACTCGGCAACACTCAGTGCAAGTCTCTAAGTAGTCCAGAGTGGCTCGTTTTAAACATCTCAGATGAGGTCACTCTGACTGATCTGAAACAGCCTGAACTTGTATCTCACATGGAGGAGGACCAATCATCAGTCACCCTCGCATCATCTGCCCTTAGGAAGTCCTGGAGATATTAGGAGTCCTTCAGAAGAGCACGTAGACTATCCTAAAACAGCTTTTTTAAATCCTGTGTGCCATACTCAATGTGATCTTCATTTCCAGGACCCAAGCTAAAGAAGCAGGCCTTATGTGAGGGATGCTGGTCTTATGGGAGAGGAAAAAGAAAGGTGGGGACCACATGATGACTCTTAAAACTTCTGCTAAGAAGTGACACCTTTCACATCTAGATTCCATTATCCAAAGCTAACTATATGACAAGCTTAATGTCAATGACCAGAGATAAATTATCCTGTCATAGAGAGAGATAGTGATTATTTTGAAGAAATAATATGATAGACCACATGGATGCATAATACCTATGTCTCCCTTAAAAAAAATCAACCTATTATAGGGCATAACTGTACACCTATTCTTGTGCAAATTTGGTTATGTTCCTAGTGACAGGACTGGAAAATGGCACTACACTTGAGTCAAAAAGCCATGTAAGGACCATTTGAGGTAGATAAATAAGTCCTGGTTGAGATCTGAAAACCTTCCATTGATATATCCACTGACCAGGAAAGCATCAGCATCAAATTTGCTCTCTTAATGGGTTCCAAGACTTGACATGTCTCAGAAGAAAATTCCAGAGACAATGGTGGGGTGCTCTTTAATGAAATGCTCATTACCAGTGCTCTTTATACTATAAAGACCAGTTTGTTGAGAAAATACAGACATTAAAAGGTGATTCACACAAAAGAAATGTGAAAAAATTTTGAAACACCTTAATTTATTTATATTTTCCTTTCTGTTCATGTACAAGAGTCATTTTTTTAAAAGTCTATGTGTAAATAGTTGATCTTTTGTGGTGGTGGTGATGATGATGGTGGTAAAGGAGCAAGTTAAATGCCCAAAGGACTCTTTATCTCTGAAATATAACATATCAGGATGTTTCTAGTTATTGATCATTTGTCTCAAATTTTTATTGGAACTCAATATGCCCTTATAGTATATAGACTTTATTTTATGAAAACATATTTATATGTCTATTCCCTCCATTCTTTATGTTCTGGAGTCCATCTGCATAGTGTGTCAGGGATGCCAATTGTTCGTATGTCCTCCTTCGTCTGCTATGGCTATTGTTTTTCTCTCTTTCTGCTCTTTTTAACTCTTTGCATTTTTCTATTCTGTTTCAATTTTAAGACTCTCTAACAGAATCTCTTTGCTGTTTCTAGTGTGCCTCTCTAACCAGCTAATTTCCAAATTACTTCTGTTGCCATTACTATTCTTTGGATGTTTGTAGCTCTTAGCTTTTCTCTGAGCTCTTTAATTGTTTCAAGGAAAACCATTACTGCCCTGTTTTTTAAGTATTTTTCTTTTTCAAATTACAAAAAGTAATATCAACTTGTAATTTTAAAATGACAACATTACAGATGCTCCTCAACTTATGATGGGGTTACATCCCGATAAACTCATCATAAATTGAAAATAGCATTAGTCAAAAATGTATGTAATACACCTAATCTACCAAACATCATAGCTTAGTCTACCCTACTGTAAACATGCTCAGAACACTTGCACTAGCCCACAGTTGGGCAATTAACTTGAGTTGTATCTCAAGAGTAATTGACTTCATCTTTTTCTCACCAGAAATAGGAGATACAGGTGGGCATTTTGTAGACATGGGATGGGAAAACAAAACACAATGTCCAAACAATGCTGGCAACACAGTACACTGTAGAGTATCAGTTGTTTACTCTTGAGATCATGTGGCTGACAAGGAGCCGTGACTCACTGCCACTGCCTAGCATCACGAGAAAGTATCTTACCACATATCACTAGCACAGGAAAAGATCAAAATTCAAATTTTGAAGTTCATTTTCTACTGAGTGTGTATCACTTTCGCATCATCATAAAGTAAAAAAATCATAGGTCAAACCATTGTATGTCTGGGACCATCTGCATACACATGCACATCTTTCTCTCCCCTTTCCCACCATTGACCCCAGCTCTTTCCAGTACCATACCCCTGAGATTGTTGTTTTATTGCTGTCATACGCACCTTTCCCCAAACGTAAAAATGTGGGAAATTTGTTGTTGCTATACAGATAGAATGAGTCTATTTACATATCACCTTCAACTACTTTTCACTTGGCAATATACCTTGGGAATTCCTGTAAGTCATTTATAGTTCTAGCTCTATCCTTCCCTTCCCACTATTGTGTGTGTGGTGTGTGTGTGTGTGTGTGTGTGTGTGTGTGTGTACATTTCTACATAAATGATACAATATGCTACATGCTCCCAGTGAAGCCACTTAATGGAGGTTTTGTGCTGCATAGTGATGTCTTCACTCTTCTTTAGCAAACATAGAAGTTGAAGGGCTGTTTGTTCCCCCACAGTTTATCCTCTACCCACCCACCCATAGTCTTTTAAGATGGTGTGTCTAAGTTTCCTATGTGTTTGTTCAGTTGTCTGAAGTCGCTAAGTGCTGACAGCATGCGGCTGTCAGCCTTTGTACCCTGACCTTATTTCAAGCCAGTGCTGTGACATATATTTTTAAGAATGCTGCACTCTGCCTAGTCTGCCCATGAAATTGAAGCCCCCAGCCTCCCTTTTTCAAACACAGTATTATGAGTCCAGATGTGAACGTTTCTTAATCTCCTTGAAGATAGAGGTTTGCTTTACTGCTTATTAGTCTCCTTACTGTTTTCCACTGGTTTGCAAAAGGAGTAGGGGACAGAAATGGCATTGCTCTCCCCAGTACAAAAACTATGGTTATAATCAAATTATCTGACCCTATAAAGGCCTCAGGGCCTCAGCCAATAAAAGACTGGAGTCATGGAATATGGGGAATTTTCTTTGATTTTTTTTTCCACTGGTAAAATCAGAACACCCAAGCAATTAGATTTGAGTGGCAAGGTCTCTGTAACTACACAGATTACTAACATGCATTCATTTTTCAAATGCACCCAACTAACTGCTTTTATATTTCTGTAGTTTAATTAGGCTGGTGGGCCACTGTGAAGGGCTTGAGACACGCACTTGCCCAGTGAGGCTGACTTCCAATTACAGAACAATTCTGAAATCAGGCATGCTTATAAAGGAGGCATTAAAGGACACGGTGTACCAGGAAGGATTAAACTACTTGAAACGTACTGGAGCGGAGGAAGGGGAGGCAATCATTCACATTTTAAACAGGCAGAAGCACAGGACTTAAGGAAGAGATGTCTGGTACAGGCGCACCATATGGTGCTAATGAACCATATGGTCCTGAGCATAACTACTTTCTACAACCTGTTACTTAACTTTAAAAAAACAAACAAACTTTCTTTTAAGCTTAAGCAGGAAGGGAATTATACACCTACTGATTCTTTTTCTGGATCTAAGGCAACACAAGCTTAAAATGAGAATTATGTTTTCCCTTACAAAGGCAATGCGGCTGCCCCCTGGGTGTAGAATGAGTCCTTTAATCCTGGTGATTATTGGGCTACTTGACATTTTCATATCAAAAGACTCTTGAAAATAAATACTGAATCTGCACCAAGTCAGCCCTTCTTATCCTAAGCATGCCTTTTGCAAAATGGGAAGACAGTGACTAATATTGAGAAGGATACAGACCTGTAGCCATGGGACAGAGAAAAGCACTCAGATGACAACCTTAAAATTTAGTCCTCTGGCAACTGACAACCAACCACTTTACCATGAGAAACCAGGATTAGAAAAAAACTGTTTTACAAGTCATGTTCACAAGCAGAATCAGCACTATATCTTTCATGTATTGGGCATGCTTCTGGTAATATCCATAAAATGAGAGGATTTAGAACCCTAGATCATTCAGAAATGCTTCAAGTCCTCTTGCCACGCCCCCCATCCCAGATAAAGCCACCAAACCCATGGCTAAAAGCAGTATTTTCTGGTCTAACCTAAAACCCTTCAACTGTAGAGTACTTATCTCATTCCTAATTGTTTGCCCATATGTCTGACCATTAGACTACTAATTGCTGTGTATACGTATCTCTAGTACCTAGGATCTGGCATCTAGTAGATATTTGGCAAATGTTTATTCAGTGAATGAATGAATTAATGAATAAATGAATATTGCAAAATGGCTAACACTCACATAAGCAGAAACAGTTAATTGGGTCACTGTTAAAAACTTTAGGGCCGGCCAAGTGGCGCGATGGTTAAGAACTGGCTTGGGATGCCAGAGGGCCTCGGTTCGGATCCCACATATGAGAGCCAGTGACACTGCTCTCCATAGCTAAGATGCTGAACAACAGCTCAACCTGGAGCTGGGCTGCCCTGAGTCGCCGGCGTAGGCTGCAGCCCCTTGTGGCAGTGGGTTGCCATGGGCTACCGTGTGTAGCCAGCAGCCAGCGTGAGCAGCCGGCAGCTGCAATGAGCGGCCATCCAGAAGCCGGCAACTGATCTGCCTCGCCCGGGAAGAGCACCATGATGGTGCCAACTTGGGCCAGTGAAGCAACATCCTCCACAACTAGATTGAAGAGCAAAATGACAGCAACTTGTCTGTTTCCCTTCCCCAATTCCCCAGCACTGTTCCCATCCCCCCAATTCCCCAATAAAAATCTTTTTAAAAAAACTTTAAAAATCTCATAAAATCTGAAGCTGCTGTTGAATAATATTATATGTCAACTATAATTTAATACATATATAGTCATGGGATGTGGAGTATAGTGTAAGAATGGAGTCAATGGACTTGTAATAGATATGTATATCGGGGCGGGCAGTGGATGGGAGGAGGGGGGTTGTCACTTTGTGAGGGGTGAAAAGGATAACTATTGCATTGTTTTGTACACCTGAAACTAATAATTTTTTTAAATCTCATAAAAAATGCATACTCACAAAAATTGCATACTATAGGCAAGGGTATAATTGAGAAATTAGAAATGTCCTCTCACCTCAATCTCATTCCCCTATAGTTGGCCACAGTTAACACTTTGGTGTCACTGCTAATTTTTCTCTATATATAATAAATACCATAAGTTACAACTATCAAACTGGAATGGATGTGTCTTCTTTCAAGCCCAATGCCTAAATCACTTTCACCTTCCATTTCTTAGCAACAGCAGGCACATGATTTTGCTTGTCTTACATTAGCTGTTTTGTACAGTGATTAGCAAAGTATCAGGAGAGTGGCCTTCCTGATAATTTGCAAGGCCAATCCGCAATTTAGTAACATTGTCTATGTTGAAGCTAAATGGATCCCAATACCCACATTAATAGCCATATTTAAGTAACCAGATTCTTTGTGCTTTATATGAGCAATTTTGCTGTTATCACATTTGAAAATGGAAAAACAACAAGCTGGTTGCTACTTTTGGCAGGCTTGGAAGTATGATTCAGCAGCTAAGAGTTCTGCGCTGGAGCTGAACTGCCAGTGTTCAACTCCTGGCCCCAGACACTAGCTCCATCACCTTAGATATTTATGTAACCTCTCTGTGCCTCAGTTTTCCCGTCTGTAAAAAGAAATAAACGTATCACCTCTCCCATATTTTTGTGAGAATTAAATAAGTTAAATCATGTAAGACACTTAGAAGAATGCCACACAGAGAAAAGGTAGAAAATATACTCTTTTTCTTCATTGAGGTATAATTTATATACAGTAAATACACAGATTTTAAGTGTACAGTTTGATGAATTTTGACAAATGTCAAAACTATCACCCCAATTGGGGAGACTATCACCCCAATGGAGATAGAGCACATTTTCTTCATTTCAGAAGGATCTCTGGTGCTCCTTCCCAGCCTACCTCACCCCCTTATTCTCCCAGGTTAGTCTGATTTCCATTCCCCTAGAGA